ACCTTCTTTTGGTGAAACTACTGTTGTAGGGCATTTTACAGATCCTGGGCCCTGAGAAAATGAAAAAAACAAAACAAACAAACAAATGAAATGAACCACCCTCTCTGTCTCTGAGAGACCTGGGTTCCTGAACCTGAAGGAATGGCCTCTCCTTGTCTCAAGGTTTTTGATATGTAAAAAGAACATCTGGATTAGACTGCAGGAGAAAAGAGATAGGAGTAGTCCACACAAGAGCTCCAGGGCTCTGTGCTATCCAAGGCTCTGCTTATAATGGGAAGGGACAGAGTTGAGAAGGGAATTTCTTGCATTCTTCTTGTAGTAATCTCATGAGGACCTCATTTTGGAATCAAGGTACCACCTTGGCTGCTGACTTGTTGAGAAGAACCTCAAGAGCCAACAAATATCCTGGGAGAAGGAAACACACCCTGGAAAGTTAAGGCAAACGTTCACATCTGCACTCTTGAGACAAACATCAAATAGAAAAAGAAAAAAATTTGTTCCTTTATAAAATGGATTAAATCATGCCCTCTATAAATAGTTTGTTAAAAGTCTTAGGGAAATAAATAATAAGATAAATATTACTCAATGTCAATGACTGGTGCTATCTACAATTGGCAATTGGTTATACATTTTTTTTATGCCATAAAAAATTGAACAACCAGCATTCTCATAAGCGATACTTCAGATGAAGCCTGCAAAGAAGAGGTTGCTCAGTTTGCATAGGGAAAAGGGGTGAGAGAGTAAATATTTTGTCAGAGTCACCCACTGAGGGGGAGACAAAGCCTAAATAAAAATGCCCAGCTCTGGAACATTGTTGTGTCACCAGAGGGATGGAGGGGTCTCTCCTTGACCACTGTTGGCAGTTGCTTACTCTCTGCCATCTTTAGGAGAACTCCGTTGACAGGACAAATGAGGAGATGGTTCACGTCAGAACAGGTTCATTATCAAACTGTGGGCCTCTCGCTCTGTAACCTGCAGGCAGAGGAAGAAGAGAGAGATGAGGAGGCCTCTGGGCCTATGTGGGTTGAACCTGTTAGCTTCAAGAGGTTTAACGAGACATGCTCTGTGACCAGAGAAAACAGACTGCTGACCTTTGCTCTGAGGCCTAGTTGAGCAAAACCACTACTGAGAACTTGTTTCTTGTCCTTGGTCCCCTTCAGAAAGAAGAGTTTTCTGGAAGCTTAAGGTGCATACAGCTGACATTTGGGACACTCAAGCCCACCTCTGGGCAAAGTAGCTATTGGCGCTGAGCACCAAGGCTGCCAGTGCCTAGATATTGCCAGTAATCCGGGCATTAGTGTTTTTCCTCTTCCTGAAATAAACAACAGAGTAGTCTAAATGCACCAGAAGAGCCTTAAGTTCACATTTCAAGGAAGGAACCGGACATGCTCCATTAACCAGCGTCCAAACAATTGTACTGTGGCTGAAACTCATCTTCCTTAACGGAAGCATCAGCATAGCAGCCAGCATCTTTTCATAGGCCATAAGACCTTCTACACAATATTGGCAATAAAAACCCTCTCTGGTTCCAGTCATTCTGTTCCTGCCCAGATAATTTGCATGGGGATGTCCACCTCTGATGTGGAGCTAGGTCTGTACCCCAAGATCACTTATGGTTTAGGTCTCCCACATGATGTGCTTAGAAGGTGGCTGGGTCGGGGCATTTAGCTGACTTGCTGTTAGGAGGTGGGATCTCTCCTTAGACAACGCAGGTCCCTGAGGTGTGCCTTGCTTTCTGGCACCTCTCCTCATCTTCTGTTTCCTGCCCAACCTGAAGGGGCAGCTTTGGTCTGGTGTGGTGGAAGGGTCTCTTCCTGAAATAAGCAACAGAGTAGTCTAAATGCACCAGAAGAGCCTTAAGTTCTGGACCCTTCCACCACACCACTTCCTCTTGTAGATGGCTTACCATGCAAGAATGGAAACTCCTAACATGTGAGCCACAAGGAACCTCTCCTCAGTGAGGCACAATGCCTCAAAGAGGAGGCAAGTGACTAAGATATTTGGAGATCACAAAGCCATTGCTGTTAGGTGATTTAATAGACTATAGCCTTTACGATGTTAGCTCTTCCTATATGCTGACTAGGCTTTCCTCTAGCCTGAGCTCCAAGTCTGTCCTGACAGCTACTGTACTTGCCCTGTAACTGCAGGTGAGCTGTTCATCTACCCTGTGCCTCAGTTTCCACAGCTGCCAAAGGAGAGCATGGCATTAGGAAGGTTGAATTTCGTATGTGATTTTCTCTCCCCAGTGCCTAGTACCCCACCTGGCTCATGGTTACACAATAATTATCTGTGAATTATTTTGCTTAGTGTAATTTTCTATAAATTTCTCTGGGAGAGTGAGCTTAAGTTTTTTTTTTTTTTTTAAATCAGGGTTTTAAGAGGAGCAGTTTTCTTGAGTGCTTTTCTATTAATCAGACAGAGGTGAAGATAGTGTCTGTAAAGAGAAGTTGAAACTAGATAAAGACTGTTGTTAAATCTTTTATGACAACACCCAAGGAATGTTAGGATGTTTCCAGGTTCACTTTTGGATGTCCTCCTGGCATTGCCATCTGTGTCCCCTTATAGATGGCCTCAAGTGAATTTGAAATTGTCCCCAGAGTCATGGACCAGGGCTACTGGATGGCCCCTTACTGTCTGGCTTAGCTGGCAGTGGCCCTCTCTAGTATCCTGAGCAGTGGGATCCATCACCCTCTACGGGATGTGCTAATCCACCCTGAGGACATTGGTGCTATCAAGTCTGTCTGTTAATTGGCCGAGGTTCACTTTGTACTTCAACCAGCCACAGTATCCACTAGGGAGGGCTGTCTGTCTCTCACACAGGGTCCATCATATTGTGAAGAGGCACAGTGAACCATCTGCTGATTGATAGGTCTAAAATTATGTTTGTCCCACAATTTTGAAAATGTCACTTCTGGAGGGAAAGGTGTTGGACAGCCTTCTCTGGAGATCATTATAAATTGCATGGGTTCTCACCTGATGGGGCTGAGGAGAGTGAGGCCTTTAGGGGCAGTGGAATAGCCTCTGGCTCCAAAGTTGGACGTATTTGAACAATAGTTTGATTGCACATTTGAAAATAATGTGTTGAAAGTCTGACAGGATATTCCATGGCAGGATATTCTATTTACATGGGGGGAGGGGGCAGGCCGAAGAGGAAGGTAACTATAAAAATACTTTCCAATTCTGAAACTAGAAGAGAGCGAGACAGAGGGCAGTGATGAGAGCAAGGGCTCACAGCCTGGGGCAAGACGGTCAGCACCTCTTGCCGGGCCTTGAGAAGCCAGTGAGCCAGCCAGAAGAGAGCAGGAGCATTAGTTTTCTATCACTATAATACCAAAAATTTAGGGACTGAAGACAACATGCACTTCTTATTGTCTCTGTGCATTGGTGTTGAATACATGAGGCTGGGTAGTTGATAAAGAGCAGAAACTGGTTCTCTCATGGTTCTGGAGGCTGAGAAGTCAAGGTGCGAGCGTATGGAATGGGCCTTCCTGTGCCCTTACACGGTGGAAGGTGGAAGAGAGCCCTCTACTCCTGCAGGCTCTTCCTGGAGCCCTGTGAGTCCATTTGTGAGTGCAGTCTTGAGACCTAGACGTCTCCTCCAAGCCCCACTTCCCAGCACCACTACTCAGAGAATTAAGTTGTCAACACAGATATTTTGGGGGACACCCAAACCCTGGCACTTACCTTATCATTCTGTACTTCAGAAGTCCAGTGAGTCTCACAAGCTAAAATCAGCTTCTGCATTTGGCTATTTCCCCAGTACCCGAGATTTAGATTCCAGCTTTGCCCCCAAACCTGCTTCTCCTTTTGTCCGTCCACCTCAGTAAATACCAATTATATTCTGGCCACCACTTGGGTTCAACCTTTTGGAGTCACCCTCAGCTCCTTTCTCTTTGTGTGCCCTATCAGCAAATCCAGTGGGCTCCACCTTCAACATGGTGTGCACGATCTCCCTGTCTCCCACCCCCTCCCACCTGGGTTTCTGCTGTAGTGTTTGTAGCTATTTGCACCTTCCCCTCACGTCCCACTTCTCTCTGTCCTCAGCACGGTGGCCAGTGTGGCCAGAGCGTGGCCCATCTAGTCTCCCTGAGGAGCCACTTGGATAGCTCTCATCGTCTACTGCCTGCCATAGGAGGGATCTTTGAAGGCAGATTCCATGTCAGATAGACACTGGTCCTTCAGGGTTCTTTGGCCCATCTGGCTTCCTCCTATCCCTACTGTCATAGTCACATTCCTGAATTGACACCTTTTCCCACCACCTCCCTAAGAAAATTGGTAGAAAGAGATTTCTCTGCAGGGGCCCAAGCCCAGTGTCATTTTCTGGTCCTGCTGTGCTTGTATCCAGTCAGACCAGGAGCCAGGTGTCGGGGTGTGAGGAGGGGGCCCGTGTTCTCAGAAGAAAAGTCTCTTTCATGGTAGCCTCAGTGGTCTTCCTGCAGCCTCTGTTGGCTCACAGCATCTCTGTGGCCTGCCTTTCTCCTCTCTGACACCCCTGGCTTCTCTGTCCATCCCCCTTTGGCTGTGCCTTGCTGCCTCACCCACACCATTCTCCTGAGGAGACCCTGAGGTGCGCTGGCTCCTGCCCATGCTCTGCAGGACTCAGTTAACGTTCCTGAGGATTTTGCGTGGTAGCTGGGCGTCTCTGAGAGCTAGTGCTTCTTGTTGAATTTTCCAGCTCATAGAAAGGTGACAAGGCCTTTCCTCAATGGACAGCAGGGTGGGGACAGTGTTATCGTGCCTTTTTTCATGCTGATCTTGGATTAGATGGAGCAATACAATTAAAAGAAAAAAGCTGGACTGACACTTTGAAAAAGTTATAAATGTATTAGTTGATAAATCAATCACATACAAATAAGGCCTAGAATATGCAATCTTCTTCTTGCTGGGATTTCATATCAGCATAGCCAAGGAAACAGAATAGGGATGAATTGGCCAAGGTACATTTTAGGACCCCTGAGGTGGCAGTACATTGATGTGTTGTGTCTTGTCTTGTCTGATAGGTCATTGCTTGTGAGCAGCAGTATGACTCTTCCTATGATGCTCGCTGTGACGTCTGGTCCTTGGGGATCACCGCCATTGAACTGGGGGACGGAGACCCGCCCCTCTTTGACATGCATCCTGTGAAAACGCTCTTCAAGATTCCAAGGTAGGACACAAGATGGCGCCCTTGATTCGTTGGTGCTTTGAGAAAGCGCCCTTTGAGGGACAATAAATAGTTTCTACATAATTTCTCTCCAAACCTGAGAAGCGCGATTGCAAAAATTTATTTCCTTTTAGAAAAAAAGGGGAGGGGGAGTTTGCTGTAGGGTAGGATGTTTGTGAAAGATAACATACCCCAAGGAATAACGGAACCGTGTAACAGTTACATAATTTCAGCGCGCCAATTTTCCTGAGATGTTCACTTTTTGGTGCTTTACACAAGAAGAATACAAATGCAGTTTAGGATTAAGTGATCTGTGTAAACACGGGTGCTTTCTTTTTAATTATATGCTTTCGCTTTTATTGGGGAAATTTGGGGAAGCAAAAATGCTTATCATATTGCTGTATTCATTCAGACCAGCACGGAAATATATCACAAAATATCCCATCAGTCATTTGTCTTATTCTTCATCCCTTAATTTCCCACTCAATGGGAAATCATGATAAAAGATGTCGGTTTGAAGGATAGTTAAATGTAAGTATATTTTCTAGTCTATGTATTCATCAGGGTTTGTACAAGAGGCTTTGTTTATTTTCACGGGAATGGGGCCATAGATGACCACCTCTAGGCCCCAGTTTGAGCAAATGAAGCTTTCTGGGTCCATCCGTCCAGCCAGGGTGCTGATTGATATTTATACTTTCCAAATTTCTCTCTCAAAGGAAGACTCTGGGCAGGCTAGGAGCCATTTAACTGCTCTAACAATAAAGTATTGACCTTTCCCTATCTGCACAATCACACAGCTATCACAGCCTTTAAAAATTTCTACTGATTGCAATTTGCATTTCTGATTAGGTCTATTTATATGCAGATGAGGCACTCCACCATTCATCTTCATAATGTTATCGTTTTGTACCTAATCCAGATGTGAACAACCCCTCAGCCACTACTCCAAAACAGATTCCCACTGTAGTCTGGGTTAGTCTTTTTGCTCCTTCCAAAATACAAAAACAGGTCCTGGTGTTCTGAGAAGCAGATGAAGCTCCTGGCTTTTTAAATTAATAGTTTGGGGCTGGCCAAGTAGCTCAGTGGATTAAAGTGCCTGCAAGCAAGCAGGCGCAGGGGCTGGGGCCCAGGGTTCAATTCCTCCTCCTGCTGTGCCGGCCCTGCCCCTGAGGCAAGCTGAGATGGTGATTGAGACTGGGTATGGTGGTGCCTGTAATCCTAGCACTTGGGAAGCTCTAAACAGGAGAATCACTAAGTAGTGAGACCCTGAACACCCTGTAGGCCCTTCCCTAAAATACAGAATGAAAAAAATAATAGTTTGGTGAACATTCAAAAGCATGAAAGAATGCAGAAGCCCAGTGATATGCAGCATGTGAGGAAATGAGAAACGGGATCTGCAGTGATTGGTGTGTATGGTTGAGTTTCCAAGCAACGCAATAGCCCACAGTTCAGGACTAAAGTGTGGCTTCCGACTAGCAAGATATATTAAAGTATCTGCATATGTACTTTTAATTAGAGATCATCTGTGTGGGTATATTTGTATTTTATTATTAAATGCACTTCTGTACAGACCAATTGTTTAAAATGTGTAAGAGGTGGTAAATGTGTGGCAGCTAAGAAGGAAACTGGACAAATGTGTGTTTCAACAGACCTTTCAATTCCAGTGACTCTTCTTAGCTTGCTTGTGTGCCCAGCCGAGCCTCTGATCTCTAGTTCAATTCCCTCACTGGGCTCAGCTCTTCCATCTCAGCTCCAGACACAAATAACTAAGCCCTTGCTGCCTGCTTCAGGGTGAGTGAGACCCAGGAAGAGGGTAATTGGAGTGTCTATTTATTATTATTATTATTA